GGGGGAGCTTCCTTCCAGGTGCTGGGACCAGCTCACCCTCTCTGCTCAAGGAGCCTGGGATGGAGGCGGGGAGCTTCCTTCTGGGTGCTGGGATTGGCTGAGCTTCACTTCCCTAGGAGCCTGGGATGGAGGAGCGGAGCTTCCTTCCAGGTGCTGGGACCAGCTCACCTTCTTGACCCTAGGAGCCTGGGATGGCATCGGGCGAGCTTCCTTCCGGGTGCTGGGACCGGCTCACCCTCTCTGCCCTAGGAGCCTGGGATGGAGGCAGGGAGCTTCCTTCCGGGTGCTGAGACCAGCTGAGCTTCACTGCCCTAGGAGCCTGGGATGGAGGCGGGGAGCTTCCTTCTGGGTGCTGGGACCAGCTGAGCTTCACTGCCCTAGGAGCCTGGGATGGAGGCGGGGAGCTTCCTTCCGGGTGGTGGGACCAGCTCAACTTCTTGGCCCTAGGAGCCTGGGATGGCAGTGGGGGAAGCTTCCTTCCGGGTGTTGGGACCGGCTGAGCTTCACCGCCCTAGGAGCCTACGTACTGACTTTAAATAGATTACTTAACTCTTGTTGAGCTAAGATTTTTCTCACCTGTAATCAAGGAATAATGTTACGGAGTAAGGATTAAATATGATAATGCATACAGAGTGCCTGACATGTAGTAAGTGCTCAACAAATGCTATTTTAAATGGAATTATTGTTAGGATACCTCAAGAGTTTTGGATGGTGCCTACTATGGGGTTTGTACCCAGGAAGCCTTGCTCATCCTCAGCTTATGAGATAAGAGCTACTCTTCAGGCATTTTAGATCATTTTTTCCTTTCCACGGGCTTGTAAAAGATATTAAGGTACTATGCCCAAGGGTTGTGAACCACATTTTATAAACTCTTTTAAAAACTGTACCGGAATTATAATTTATAAGAAGAAGCACAACCTATGTTATAAAGATTTTAGATTTCCACCATGCTTAATATTTATAACTGATTTGAATGTAGTCCAACAGTTTTACTTACTTTCTTGGCGTATTATTTTCCATTTTTCTGTCATTCCGGGTGGTGTATCAATGATGGAGAAGCTGAAAGGCCAACTGTTGGGGTGTCCATCAAGGTCCTCCGCCGTAACATTCACATATGGCTGGTCTTCACAGATGCTCTGCACAGGGTTCACCAGTGTAGGACAGTTGTCATTGATGTCTTCAACTGTGATAAGGACGGTGCCTGTGATGGTTTTTCTAGGATGATCTTAAAAGTAAGGATAAAAATCTGTGCATATTCTGATCATACTGCTAGTGACAACATCATCTGAATTTGCTTGCATTTTGGCATGGGTAGTATAGGAAACACTTTGGACACTTCCTATCCTATGTATGATCCCTATTTACTAAATAAATAATAGGATATGGAGGTGATCCACTGGAGAGATTAGATTTTTAAACACATTCCAAACAAAAGTTTCTGATGCTGGAAGATAAAATCTAAATACATATAATGAATAAAAATATATATTAAGAACTTACCTTGTGATACGGCCAAAACTTTTACAGTATATGTACCATTGTGGACGTAGCGTGATTCAAAATCAGGAATTTTTACAAGTCTAATTTCTGACGTGACCGAATCCACAGAGACCCAATTGTCTCCATCTTCCAACTTTACGTATCTGTTATAAAACAAGCACAAAATTAAGTTCTCATTCTCGATAAACTCGGAATCTCTACAGCTCTTTCAAACATAATTTTTATCTCATCATATATGTTCTTGTTATAGACATTTGTTTTGAATGTTTTTAATTCCTTAAAACTATGCTATAACTCCTTCCGCTGCCTGCATGTCACACTTCCTTGGAAGAGTCCTGGATGCTATAATGTCCTCAAGCATATAATGTACCAAGGGTGATCACCCTTCCCCTACACACCCAGGAAGTTCGTAAGTTGCTCTGGACTCTGTCCTGCAGCTTCTGATCTGGTCTATCTTAAATCTGGGGCAAATCTGTGGGGAATAATTGAAGAAAAGTATCCTTAAAAGTACCATTTATTGGAATATTGTCAATTTTTTTGGTACCGGGATCGAACTCTGAACCTTGCCTTGTTAGCACACTGAAACATTCTTTGCTTGGCTTCTGTTTTTCTTCTCTAGCCTATTGATTGCTTTTTCACTCCTTAACCTTTTAACATTACAGTGCCCCAGGACTCAATAGTTGGACCTTTATTGTGTTCTACCTACAATCATTCACTGTTGATCTCATCCAGACTTCTGACTTTAAACGCTGTCACTGTGCTGATGACCAACATGTCTAAAGCTCTGTCCTAATCCTCTTCCTTGTACTTCAAGTTTCTTCTCTCTGGCTCTTTCCCCTTTTTTTTTGGAACCAGGTATCAAACTCAGGACCCTGCGCTTTCGAGACAGGCTTGGTGCCACTGAGCTATATCCCCAGCCCTGTTGTCAATATTTTCATAAGTACTTCTGAGCTTCATTCCAGGAATTTTAAAGCTAGAATTTACTTGTCATTCACAGTCTCGCACATTCACATTTACAATGAAGGCAGTCTTACTAATAAGATTACACTTCACAAAGGAATGCTTTGTGTGGTCTAATTTCAGTGATTTTCTCGCTGTTCTTCTGCATTGTGAAAATCAGACACCATTCAAGAATTCACCATTCAGCCCACAAATGGCACCAAATATCAATAAACAATTGATACCAGTGAATAATCAGTAAAACAGAAAATTATGACAAAGTTAAGGGAATGATTCTTCTTCTGTCTTTATTAAGATTCCAAAACAGTAACTATAAATTAAGTGAATACTGGAAAATAATTTAACTCAGCTGTGCCTCCCATTCCTTATGTAAAATAGTGGGTTTGAGTTGGTTTTTAAGATCCTTTTCATTCTTTTTTATTTGTTTTTAAGGCTTCTCTTTTTATTAGTATATTTTCTGAAACATAGTAACTACATTCATCCTGGAGAACTGGTACACATACATACGTATTTCATTTGATCATTTTTACTTCTTCTTCCCCTCTCTCTCATCTCTCCAATCCCCAGATCCCTTCCCATCTCCACAAAGTCTACTTTCCTATTTCCTATCATCTATTTTTTTATTTAGCTCTTGAAGTTATTTATATTTTGGGGTTTTCATCTAAGAGAAATCATGAAATGTTTAACCTTCTGTGTCTGATTTATGTCACTTAGTATTACAGTGCCAACGTGCATCCATTTTCCTATAAATGACTCAAATTTATCCTTCTTTATGGCTGAGTAGTACTCTATTGTGTATATATATACCACATTTTCTTTATCTATTCATCTGTTGAAGGACCTATAGGGCACTTTCAGGATTTAGCTACTGTATTAGGAATTGTGGTACTGTAAATATGGGCATGTGCGTATCACTGTACTATGGTGATTTTAACTTTTTAGGGATGATATCTATAAGAGGAAAACTGGGTTAAATGGAATTTCTATTTGTAGTTTCTGAGGAATCTCCATACTGATTTTCATAGTGGTCGTACTACTTTACATTCCCACCAACAATGGAGAAGTGTTTCTTTTTCTCCAAAACCTCTCCAGCATTTTTCTTTCTTTTTTCTGTTTTTGGTACTGGGGATCAAACTCAGGACTTTGTGCTTGTGAGGGAGGCAGTGGAACCACTGAGCTAAATCCTGGCCCTCCAGCATTTTTCTTTTACTCTAAGGATGTGTACTTGCGTGCTAAAGAAGCATGTAAGCTTCATTATTTTTCCATGTAGAACACACATTTTTAAAAATATATTCAGTCCCTAATAAAAATAGCAGTCAAAATTTAAAAACTGGTGGGAAACAGAATTTTCAATAGTGAGCCACAATATTACCTGTAGATAATTCACTGGAAGATATGAGCTTCTCAGTGGAAAGCAGTGAGAAATCACAGAGAACCTCATAGTAAACCCTTAGCTCTGTGAATCTGTTAGAGACTCCTTGTTGGGTAGAGAGCACCTACTCTCCATGATAAATGTAATCATTATATACAGCAAACATGTACTAACAAACATACAAAATCTGTCACAATTTATTCTGCGGGATATTATATCCTACCATAGCCTAACAAAAGCCATGAGATGGCTTTAATGAGAAAAAAACCAAAATAAAACAAAGCAAAAAAAAAAACAAGCCCACGTAGCTCAAGAGAAGGGACAATGGGTTAAAGATGGCTACCAAGATACTGTGGATGCCATGGGAGCTGTTTGTTAATTATTACTGTGGAAAAGGATATTTGAGTCTATGGCTAGTAAGTTCCACTTAAAGGAGGTTCACTAAAAAGAAAGAGATTGTTGAAGAATTTTCTCCTTATTTTTGCCATAGTTGTCCATGCTTCTAAAAGCAGTGGTTTATGAGCACTGGCATACAGGGACACGACCTAAAGACAGATAGACAACCATGCAGCTCTAGCATGGAGCAGAAAATCACACAAGCGGTGTATCTGGGTAGCAGGCGGGGTTTCCTCAAATTCAATCCAAATAACTAACTACGTAAGTAACTACTTTGTAGAGACAGTAATCTTTCCTTGGGACAGCTCTCAAAGATAAGAAATAAGTTTACTTTGAAAATTTAAAAATATGCAAATCTGAGAGGTCTCTATAGAATCCACACAGAAAACAACCCAATCCCTTCCAGCACAGTGGTAGCCTTTCTTAGGTTCTCGATAAGTGTATTCTAAGTAAAGGTCACCATGTTTAAGAAAAATATAAAAAATTCATCCTTCCCAAACCAAAAAGCATGGTTTAAAGTGAAGATAAATTCCCAAGTTTTACTGTGAATAGAATTCATTTTCCCATTGTAAAATACATGAAGCAACTATTTATTGCTTTTAACCATACTTACGTAAAGTATAATTTGTGGCAAATTTAATCTGCTTCTTTCCTTTTTCTAATACTCTTGAGAAATAAGATAGATTTTAGAAACTCAGCTTTCTTTTCCACACAACTTTTTCTTTATTGCTTTTCAACTTATTCTAGTCACAACTGTTCCTATGGTAAGGAACCCAGCCTCACCCTCAAACACAGGCTATTGAAGGAAGAAGGCTCTGGAAAATTTCTCCTCATCTCTCATTTTCAGGCACAGCTTTGGGAAATTTAATCTATAGATATTTGGTGAACTACAATGTTGTGGTGTGAAAGAATAAAGTGCTTAAATTTCATCATTAATTCTGAAAACAGGCATTTTAAGTAATTTAAAAAGAGGAAACATTTATAACATTTTCTTACTTTACATGAGGTGACTGTCCAGTGTCTTCATCAAAAACTTCAAATTTTCCAATTGATTGGCTTTGGCTTGACTTATCCATTCCTTCACTAGTACGAACTGAAATTGTGCTGCTTTTGAAATGAATACCTTCTTTCACATTATTCACCTTTACTTTGATAGGAATGGCTGTAGGTTTATACTTATTCCTAATTGATTTGTGAAAAGCTGCTTTATTAGTGACAATAATACTGAAGTCAAGATTCTTCATTGTTTCATAATCCACTTCCTAGAAAGGCAAAATCAAAGAGCAGTCTTTTTAACAGAGAAAATAACTAGAACATAGAGTGCACACACACATATACACATAAAAACGTTTTTAATGTTAAATACAATATCTTGACACACAGGTATTCCAACTCTCATTGATACCAAGCAATTAAAAAAATGCTCTATCAATAATTTGGATAGTCATAAATATTAAGGATGCTTAAAGAGCATTCCCAGTTTATTTTTCTAAAGGTCAAAATTATTTTCAAAAATATACATTTTTATCATAACACTCTAACATGGAATGGGAACATTAATGGACATTCAATAAAAATTAGTATTCCTTAAAATGTGTTCCATGGATTTGCACTGCCACCTCTGTCCCCTAAAATATTTACCCTGCACATTAACATATTAAAAAAACAAAACTTTTTGTAGTACAGAAAAAACCCAGGGACTTTCAACTGTATTTAAACAAAACAATCTAGTCTTTCTTTTTGTAGCAGGTATTTATTAAAATAATTATTAAATAATTGCTGTTAATTCAATAAGAGATTAGGTTCTTTTCAAATAGTTCTTTGTGAATTGTGGTATTTATCACATCTATTTGATATAAGCCAGTTATCATTGTATACATATTTTAGTTTCCATTTCCTTTATAAGCATTTCTATGTATTTTATATTTATATTTAATTTATTTTATATTTATATTTAGTATTTTATATTTACATGTAATTAACTTACTTAGGCATTCTGTTACTAGGCATTTGAGCTATTTGAAATTTTTAAATAAAATATGGGTCTGAAGATTTTTATACAACTTATTTTTCCTCTGTCAACCTATATCCTATTAGTGAAACAATTACCTAGTCAAAGTTCAGTACCTGGTCCTATTCTTTTATTGCTTTTTATTTCCAGTGTCCCTGACCATTTAGATAGATGGATCACTTTGGTTTGTTTCTTCAACGTAAGATTAAATACATTTCATGTGTTAAATGAATTATAGCAAAGCTGCTCACTTGTCTCATGGATGACTGATTATGGATTTTGTTTTGCTTTCTGTAGGGTTCTGCATCAACACCTATTTTTTCTGCCCCCTTTCAAATATGGATCATGGTGGTGTTGAGACCAGAAAACAACAGAATAGTTACAGAAATTAGACCTTTGTAGTTGTAAGATCTTCATGAAAGTTCTTTTAAATTGTCCTTGCAGCGGACACATCTATTTTGATGCTGCTATGGTAACTGGGTGAGGAATAAAATCTTATAGGGAGCTACATCAGCATTCAAAGGCAAAGGCAGTGTGAACAGTGAGCTAGGTTCTGGGGCCATAAACATTGTTTCACAGTGCTTGTCATCAACAGCCACAGTGCTCCAGAGAGAAGGAAAATATTTCAGCATCAGGAACACTCTATGAGGAAATACTTCCTTTTGTCTGGTAACTCTATCGATATTTTACCATTTCCATTTTTGCTATTTTTCAACATCTTTACAGATTTTAAATTTGTTAATTTGTTATCAGAGCAATGGATTGTTCTCTTGCGATCATTTACTGTCCCTATTACTGTACTTTATAATCTCTACTCATCTCTTTTATCTTGAGAGCTTCACTGAAATACAATTTACGTACAACAAAAATCACCCATTTTATGTTTACATGATGACTTTTAATACTCTCAATTCTGACTACAGTCCAGTTTAAGATGTGTCCATCATTCCAAAAAGTTCCTTCACCCAAACCTCCCTCGCATTCCTAGCTGCAGGCAACCTCTGATGTTTTCTGACTCCATTGTTTTGTCTTTTCTAGAATTTTTTCATAAATGCAGTCCTATAATACACAGAATTTTATATCTGGCTTCTTCCATGTAGCATAAGGTTTTTGAAGTTAATCCATGTTATTGCACATTATCAACACTCCATTCCTTTTTACTCTGCAGTAGTATTCTAATATATGGATATAACCATCTTACTTATTGTACTCATCAGCTGATAGACATTTGTTACCAGATTTTCACTATTATGAATAATGCAGCTATGAACATTTGTTAGAAGTCTTTGTATAGACACATTTTAATTTTTCTTGGGTGAATATTTACTAATAAAATTGCTAGGTCATAGGGTAAGTACTCTACATTTAAATTTTTCAAAAAATCTGCCAAACTGGCCGTGTCATTTATTTCCACAACAATACAGAAAGGCTCCAGTTTCTTTATATTCTTGCCATATTTGGTGTTGTCAATCTTTCTGATCATCATGGACTGAATGTTTGTATCCCTATAAAATCCCTAAAATGATGGTATTGAGAGAAGAGGCTTTTGGGAGGCATCAGCCCTCAGGAATGGAATCAGTCCCCTTACAAAAGAGACCTCTGGACCTCACGGGCATCATCTACTATGTGAGAACAGCAAGAGGCCACGAATATGAGCCAGAAAATGACCCTCACTGAATCTTCGTAAGTCTTGGACTTCCTAGCCTCAAGAACTGTAAGAAATGAATTTTTGTTGTTTATAAGCTACACAGTTGCTGGAATTTTGTTACAGAAGCCCCAAACAGACTAAGACATTGATTTTAGCCATCTCAATATATATGTAGTAGTAGTTTTTAGGGTTTTATTTTGTACTTTCTCTAATTAATGGCATTGGGCACCTTTTTTATTGTGCACATTTGTTATTTGTGTATCTTCTTTATCAAACTGCTTCTCAATGATATCTGATCACTGCCCTTATAAATTGGAAGCAATTCTTTATATAACCCAGACAATAAATTTGTAGTTTTTAAAATCTGTTGCTTTCACTGTAATACTAATTCTTCTACTTTTCATCCATGCCACTCTTGGTAGAAATAACTCCATTTCTCTTTTTGTGTCTTATCATAGTTGACTGAAAATCCTTCCAGCACCTCTATCGTTCACCAGTGCATGGCTGTTTCTTCTGAATGTCACTGGCATTTGTATCTCAAACATCTGGCATGGTTTTACCTAAACTGACGGCTAAAAATTATGCTTATTTCTACAGAAGCAGATGAATTAATTTTGTCTCTGATGAGATTAACCATTTCTTCAATAATCATAAAATGTGCCTTCTCTGAGGTAATATTATTCAATTTCCCCCTGCTTTTTAAAGGGTAGTTTGAATGCATATAGTAGCCTATCAATAAATGATGTTCAAAATTATTACTATGAAACTTTAAGTTAATTATTTCCTATTCTGTTATATATTTTCCTTCTCACTGTTAGACTTTACCTTGAGTCTTGTATATTAAGTGTTTGTAAAAATTTGTTAACTTCTAGAATTAATTTTCAATTTTTTTTGGTCTCTGTATAATTTAAAGAAATAGTATTTTGAAAGCTATAGCTTTGCATTTAATTTTTAAAGTCTGGTAAGGCAATTACCATGTAATTTTTATTTAAAAAGTTCTGTGGGAGTTACAAGATCTAAATGTATAAGAACCATATGCTTAATAATATGACTTAATTCAATTTTTTCTTCATTGATGCAATATCATATAAGATTAGATTACTTTGTTCTAAAATGCAGCCCTCATATATAGTATATTAGAATCACAAGTGGATTTCTGCCTACAAGGCAAGATTCTGAGTCAAACCTAGTTGAGACTCTTTGATGATAGGGCTCAGGAATCTATATTTTTTGGCATAAAGCTTTAGCAGGTGATTCTTAGGCACATTTAAATGTCAATGTATCACAGCTTTAATTTTTAGGTGTGACTTGTGGGGTTTAGCTTTAGTATTAAGCAGATAAATAAGCACCAATAAGTAAAGGATATTCAACAGAGGTACAAGGTCTTGACACGGAAATGCTATGGCCAGGTATGGAAGCAAGCATGACCGGAAATGTACTAAGCAATGACGCTGGTATCATGCTGACTAGCTAGCATCAGAGTTCTAAGATCTAAATTTAACCTGCAGTGTGACTACTTTCTAACCAAATGGCCCATATCTCAAATAATTATAGTCCTGGTTGTGGGTGTAAAACATTTGTGTGTGGGCTCAAAATTGTTAGCTTCTCTCCAGCAGCAACCCATCCCACCTGTCTTTTTTTTTTTTTTTTTTTTCCGGTACCAGAGATCATATTTATTGTGATGCCAGATGCTTAAGT